ATATATATAAAAATATATATATATTTCATGTTTGTTTGGTTTGTTTAAGCAGAATTGTGAACGCTGACATGATACTTCAAAGCACGAAAAGTAGAAAAGTCCAATATTTTTCTCGTCCTGAAACAAGCACGTGCATAAATTCCCTCAACAAGCCATTTGAGAAGAAAATGAAAGGCCTAATCTAATTTTGCTGCCACCAGACTCAACAATGGGAAACTAGGATTTAATAGGTATAATATGTCTCCAGTTATTTGATAGCTTAATTGTTGCTATTTCATGTTGAGAATGGCTTCCCACAGCTTTCATTATGTCAAATTATTGGGAAAGATCAAATCAGTCAGTTCACACATTATTGTTTCCTCCCGTTGCCATAATGGCCACATAATATGCTAAATAATATCAGAGCCCTTTGCTTGTTGGAGCATAGAATATTTCTGAAACTTTAAATTGAGTTTCCTCTGATATTGCCTTTGCTTTACACGGCGCATTCAAAATAATATTTACTAAATATTTACTAAACTATGACAGTCACAGCTTTTTAAAACAATTAGTGATGAATGTGGCTTTTTAATTTCGCAATTACTGTTCATTGTTTGGAAGACTTATGTCAACGAGTCACTTTTTAATTTTAAAAATATCATTTCCTCACTGTGTGCTGGAACCATAAAAAACCAGCCAACATGTTCGAGCTGTTACCGGCGTAAGTTGAGGAGGAGGCAGAGCTGCTCTCAGCAGCAGGCTGCAGCGCTGTGTGGTGCCTGAGGTGTGGTGACATGATGTGAGCTGACAGGTGGCACCATGGGTAATAGGGCTAAAACTCCCATCATGCAGCCTGCTGAGGCCTCGTCCTACCTCTCTGACCAACCAGTAGTGCAAATCTACTCAGCCACTGCTTCCTACCACACTGGAATTAAAGGATGGACACAGTTATGATATAGCTTTGAGGTTTGGGAGTGAGTCAAATTAACTTGGAACTAAAGCCAAGGGCTGTTTGCGCACAGTAGGTATCTTATTTTGAAAAGATGTGGATTAGCCGCAGAGACAGGTGTTGCATGGGACTGAAATGACTCACTGTCTCGGAGCTTTTAGACTTGTCAAATAACTCTTCCTGTTATGATGCTGACGTGAAGAAGTTGAGGGACAGTTTTATATATTTTTGATCTTTAATCTTCTCTAGAATATCAAATGTGAGTTCACAGATCCTGGAGAATAAAATAAACATGAACTTTTCTTGCATTGATTTCTTTATTTTTTCCCATCAAAAGAAATGCACAGATCAGCAAAGCTACTACATACAAATGGCCATACAATAGCAATTTAATTTTTGTTCTTGTTTGAAAGTGTTCAGTAAATTCTGACGTGTCACTTTTACACTTTGTACCTTGAACATTTGCAGTTATGCTGCATTCAGCAAAAAAATCAGTCAGATCAATCGATGCTGTTCTTCCGTGTTCAAATGAAAAAGTTCAGCCACAATCTACGTATCTGGACAGCTACTCGTTACTGCTCCAGGAAAATTACTGTACTTACATACAATAAAGAAAAAACAAAAGTTTTGCATAGCTTCATTGTAATGTAGATACAGTACTGTAAGGCACTTCATGAAAAAATTTAGGCATTTTTTATCCTACATAATAAACCTTTTGCCACTTCATTCTAAAACATCATCTCAATATGCAAGGTTACAACATCTTAAATAAAAACTTTTCTCATATCACATTTCTGCACACTATGTAAATCTACTGTATTCCACCACGTTTCTTTTGGCATTAAGTCTCAAATTCAACATTCTCAAAATATTGAAGTTGGGTTCTTGTGCATAATATGACTGACACATTGTCCCATAACCCCACACAACCCAGTGTTTCTCAAAAAGACCAAAAAAGAAATTGTGCAATGATTTGGGGTTATGTGGAGTAAAAGGCAACACGCTGTCAAAAACGAGTCCCAAAACTTAAAAAACGAAATGTCTGGGCAAGTTACACGTCATTTCCTTACCGACTGGCACTGTACCGACGGTGAAGGTGTCATGGGTAGGAGACGTTTCTCTTTTTAAGATAAAAAAGTAGTTTTGTCTCCTCAGGCCAGTCCAAAGCATTGGTGGGGGTTACTGTGTGGTGTTGTAGTCCAGCAGCTATATGTAGGACTACATGTTCCAGTAGCCCACTTAACATGGATAGAGGTAAAGAGGATGCATCTGCTCTATCCAAGCTGATCTTCGTACTGTTTGCGGAAGCAATCTCCAGCTGGGAAGAAATCCCAGCAGCGCTCCTGGTACATCTTCCACACATATGACTCCTGGAGTCGGACACACACAGATGGACATCAATTTTTTACTCAAAATTATAAGTAATTCACCTTCTGGATATAAATACAATATGTGTATGCAAACAACATATGCTAGGGAGACTAGGGCTGAACAAGGATTCATTTTTATGTCATAATTGTGATTTAAAAAAGAGCAATTTTCTTCCTAACAAGCTGGGAAGTGGAAAACTATGCAGTTGCAATGAATAAATCAAATGTCAGTTTTGCATGTCATGAATATATTTGGATATTACTATCTATCTATCTATCCACTATACTATCTATCTACTATTACTATTATTGTTTCAAAGTTGACCACTAATGCAATATCCCAGTGAATGTGAGCTAAATTTGTTCTTTTTTTCAAGTATCGAGTATTTTATCAGGTTCTACTCATGTAGAATAAAAGATATATTTGTGATAATGCTTGGTGCAATCATATCTTATTTAATACTAAGTAGATTAGAAAATAATCACAATGTATTAATTCATCAGCAAAAGTGGTCAGAAAAATTGCAATTGTCATTCAGCCTTATCACAGACAGTCAGTATCTCTGACAGTGACAGGATAATAATTGTTTCTTCGTTTGTTTTTGAATATTTCTTAGAGAAAGGTCATTAGAGTGGAATTATGCTGTACCTGGCCAGTGTGCTCCGTCTCATCCTTGTTGATAAGGTACATCAGGAAAAACCTTTAGAAAAAAATGTCAATGAGAAAAAACAAAAATGTCAGACCAAAAAATTCTTACATTCTCCTCCCTGAACATCTGATCACAGTTTAAACACAGAGCAGAGTAGAAAAGAGGCTTTGCTGAGGCACATTTTACAAGAAATGTCCCATTCATGTGTTACTAGGAGACAACTTCTGAAACAAGTGTCAAACAAAGTCTCATCTCCATCACCGAAATCACCTGTTGTTTCCCAAATCGAGTGTAAATGGCAACGGGCCGCTGTATCTCCGTGGCCATCGCAGCTTGCCAAATCATGATGAATACTGTATGAGAGCACGCTATCACAAACCTATTTTCCAATAAAGTTCATGGCATTAAATAGTAATGAAGCAACATAATGAGGTCGCTCTCATATCCTCCGGCCAGCTGACTGTGAGCGCAAATGGACTGAGACTTTCTATTGTCACGGACATTATACAGAAACACTGGATCAGCAGGGAGTGTAGGGAAACACAGAGACAGATGGAAAGAATACCTAAAGGGATCAAGTGTTCTGGATCACTGGGGCTATTAGTGATTTGGCCCCGATGCGGTGGTAATGTGCTAAAGCCATCAATCATGTGGTTAAATTACAGAGAAGGGGCTATACATGTGAAAGATGACAATAATGATGAATACATTTGTAATAAAAAGGGTAAAACAAGGTTATATAAATGTTTGAATGTGGGATACTTACAGGTAGTTGGCCAAATTGTGCTCTTGTAAGGTGTGAGTCTCGAAGCCGTGAGGTGTTGTGTCAAAGTAGTCATTACCGATCCCGCAAATGAAACATTTGGTCTGAGGACAGAAAATGAAAAGATAATTAGAGACCATGATTGTTTTGTTTCATGCACTATAGTAACCAAGAGGGTGTTTTGCATCATTTTTAAAGGGGCATTCCACTGATTTTACATATAAACGTCAGTTTATTCGTCATGGTTGGTACCACTGAGCCTGTGTACAGTTGTGTAATGTCTTCTGAGAAAATAGCTCTCATGGTGATCTTCCCAGGAACGTCAAGATTTTCTCTGCCCTCTCGTAGAGTCCCGGGTTGCATCTCAAGTGTTTTACCAAAATAAGAGTCAATCACGCATATCTTTAAACTAAATATTTATTTCCCCCCATCATGGTAATCTCGCCAACCAAAAAATGTCCGAAGTGTGCTCTGACCTTCGTCTGACCTGAATGACTGTTGCTTAAAAGATTGTGATGAGAGAACACAAAAGTAGGCCACATGTCTAAAGTCCAAATGTCCTGAAAAGAAAGTAATGTCTTTTTTCCAACAGACATATTAAAATTAAGAGGCTTACTATAAAATATACCAGACTGAATATGGTATTATGGCAATGTTTGCATGTCTAAGAGTAATTCCTTCCTTGTCTTTTGTTATAGTACTATGGTATGGTTTTAGTCAAATCCTTATTTACAACTTAGATCAATATAATTCATAAGAACAATTCATATAATATGAAATGAAAGTAATTTTTGTTGCAGTTTATTTAAAAAAAATAATTCATTTATACAATAAGTTTAACAATTTTTTTTAGCTTTCACCAGCATATAGTAAAAATCCTTGCGAGAACAAAACCCCATCTTCAACCCCCCCCCCCCTTTCAGGACTCCATTCAGTTGGCACCTATAGGTGAGAATTAAATCTACTCGCACCTCCATGTCCTCTTTGACTTGTTCCTGCTGGTCTCTCAGCTCTCCAAAAGCATCAATGATCAAACCTGTAACCACAACAGAACTGTCAGCATATCATATATACTGTATCTGTGTAATCAATACAAGCACAATCTTACACCCTTCACTTCCTAAAAATACGTTATGGAGTGTAATGTGGATATACTACAGGGATGGGGAGTATTGTAAAGTTTGTGAGGAATATCAGTGTCTCAGAATTTGTGGTATTTTACTGAGGCTATAAAACGGGTAAACTACTATAGATCAGTATAAGGATAAATGATCTGAAAGAGAGAACATGGAGATTACCCTGGATGATGGCCAGGAGGATGACGATGACGAAGAAGAAGAAGGTGATGTCAAACAGGATACGGTAGAGCTCATAGGGGTCACCAGCTGGGTCCTCGATCTCGTCCCCAATGCCCCCTCCCGCTCTCACCCCAACGTACATGTGGAATAGGTAACACTGTGCAAACACAGAGGGAGGGTGAGTGCAGACCTCTTCAAGTATTTGAGTATTGCTGTCTGTATGTTTATAATTCACAATACATGTGATTGATACTCACAGTCATCATATCATCACACTTCATATCGGGCTCATCCTCATCTTCACTCTTGTTGTAGAACTTCCTGAAGAAGTTGAAGGCCACCACAGTGTAGAGATAGACCACAACCGCCAGCAGGCCCACCGTCAACACCAGCTTAAGAGAAACACAGTCAGCAGTCAGTAAAATGTCATCACAAACTTCCTGTCTATTTACGTACTCGTGTTTGGAAACACACTAGGCGCAGTGGGGGCAAAGCTCCCTGCTCCCATTTGTTTTCTATAAAAAGAAGTTAAACCCTCACGAGGAACGCGACGGGACTGCCGGCGGTGAGAGAAGAGCAGGCGGCGAGACAGGAAAAGTTCAAATGAGTGGAAAAAGGATGGGAAAGTTCGGTGTAGCAACCAATCACGCTCCTGCGCCGATTTTACTTGTGAACAGCAACGCATTTTGACTGACAGCGCTATTGATCTGCCCACAGGCAGTGTGGGAGGTGTTCGACGATTCCTTGCGGCCTCGCCATTTGGATATATTTCCACCCTTGGAGGCTGAAGTGACATTAAATTTGGATTCGTGCCTCTGGTCAGTTGACACGAGAATCCCTGCAAGAACTGACAGTCAGAATTGGGACTAAAATGAAGGCAATTGAGCCATTTGAACTCAAATGTCAAAGGATGCTGTGTGCATCTCAATCCTCATATATGCATCCTCGCTCCCTTCACTTGCATCTCTTCCTTTTGCTGCCTCCCAATTGTCTCATGAGGGAAAATGTATTGGGTGTAAAGACACAAGAATTGACACATACAATATTTCTTATATTATTATTGGTAAATTATATATATTTACCAGATGACACGTTCTTTGCTCAACCAAGCATCATTTTATCATCCATTATTCCTTACAACATGTTGCACAGAAGGTGACACGAGCCAACCATGTACAGAAAGTGTAGAGAAACAGATATTTCTCCCAGGAGTTAGCAGAATTAAAAGGTGAGTAAATTTAGTCATAACCAAACACACACGTCTACTGGGATGTCCATGTGGCTCTGTATCTGGTGAATGTGCAAATAGGTTACAGTTTGCTAATATCTTAGCCATAATCACTTGATAAAACAATAGTCAATCAAGGCTTGGTTGTTTAATTTCCTTAAAAAAGCCTCAAAACAACAGCTTTACATTCATGAAAAATCACAAAGAACCGTAGCTTATAGAACTATTTCTTTGTTTGTATTAAATAATTAGTAGTAGAGTACAGACAACAGATCATGATTATCTTTTGTGTTGCCATCTAAAGCCAAATGAGACATAACTGATTGTTAATACATTCTTACTTTCTGCATTATTTGTATTTGGCAGAGTTGACAACAAGCTTGAGGTTAGTGTTACCCAAGATACCATCAGTGGGACAGGAGCATGGAAACTGTGATAAAACTGGCTTGTGGTTGCACATCAGGGAATAAACAGGCGGTGGTTACAACCCAACCCCAACCACTAACTCCGTAGTGCCCCCTGCTGCTTGGAAGAAGACCTGCATCCTTCTGGTCCTTACCTGTTTGCCGTTGTGTGTGACAGAGGAGAGGATGGTGCGTAGGGTTTTGAACCCCATTGCGATATCGAGCAGATGAGCAGCAAAGAAGAAGTTGTTGTAGTGGCCCAGGATGGACATGGTAGTGTACCACACCAGATACAGGAATGACTGGTAAAAACAAAAGGAGACGCTGATCAGAATCCATCTGTCTAGTCATAATATCATCTATCAACTCTCTCAGCCGTCCATCCATCAAATTATTTAATCAGCTGTCCATAAAAACACAACACAAAGCAATTAATCATCCCAAACTGTATTCAAGCTTACATTGTCTGTAAACACCACTCCCATTTTCCAGACATGGTATTTTGTATCGATTGAGCTCAACCTGGCAAAAAAGAAAGGTTGATATGAGGGGCTCGTATTTACTGCTTGACCTCTATTTTTGCTTGAAGGAGTTAGCCTGTCTTGTCTTCATCCGTCTAATCTCTCACCATGACACGAGTGAAGCCTCCTTGACGACAGTTTCCTCAGTAGGGTTGAAATCCAGGGCACTCTTATCCAGCCCCAGCAGTTCTGCTATCCTCTCTGCTCCATACAGGTCTCCATATTTTTTGATCACCTACAAACAGCAGCAAAACAGAAGATTACACCGTAACTGACATTTAGTAAATATCACCAGATAGAGTTTATGTGCATAACAGATTACACAAAAAAATGACATAAACCACTTACTTTGCGTTTGACAAATTTATCCCAGTAGTTGTTAGGAAAGGAGCTGGTAAAAAAAAAAAGCAAAACAGTATTGAAACCCCTTGTTTATAAAAGATAATGACTCAGAGTTTAATAACTGTACTGTAGATGACTCACGGAGTATTGATGACCAGTCGGTCCCACTGTCCTTTGATGTCATCATCTGAAGGCTGCTCTGTGATGTAAAGGCCAGCAAACTCTAACTTCCTCGCTATCTCCTTCTCACGTTTGAATACTACCAGGGGCACCTTGGACACGAAAGGGAATTTGGCTGCGTCATTAGTGCATTAAAAGAGATAACACACAGTTGCATATGGTGATTGATGTTAACATACCCAGCCTGTTTACTGATAAAAGTGTGTGACTGTATGTGTATACATGTGATCACTACATACAAATGTTTTTACTGAAAAATACAACCTAAAAGTAGTACAAGGATGGTTGGTGGTGCTGTACCTTCAGGTAGTAGTATCCCACTACACACAGAAAAGATATGATGGTGTGCAGTATAGCCAGACAGCGAAGCGTTGGAGCCATGTAACCTGTGCTCTCCTGCAGCACAAAGTACTCAAGCGCACCATCGTCTTCCTCCTCCCCAACTCTACCCCGACCGTTCCAGGGGTCTTCATCATCTGAGTAATCACCGGTCACCTGAAAGACAACAAGACATTTAAAAGGTATTTACCAAAAGCAATAACAGCAATGGTCAATCCTTATATACTGTATATATTTCAAACTTACTTTATAGAAGAGAAGAATGAAGTTGATAGCAAAGGCGACGAAAAGCGCCAGGAAGCGGAGGTTGTAGAAGTTTCTGGCCAGGTAATTCTGTGAAAATAATCATTCTCTATAAGTTATATATATGCAACAAGCTGATTTGTATTCAAACTAGTAGGTCTGATCTAATTTTTTTAAGACAGCTGTGAGGAAAACATCTGACCAGCATCTTGGTCTGGTAGACTTCCAAGCCAGCAAAGAAGCTGGCCATGAAGGCCTCTGGTGGTTCTTTCTTCGGGCCGAGCCTCTTCTTTGGGGCTTTCTTCTCTTCCACTGAAGACTCTGGAGGGGATTCGTCTTTGGCCTTATCGTGGTCCTTCTTCTCACCATCTTCTGAACTGCAACAATAATGTATTTATTAGTGATGGAAAGACACATGCTGCTGCAAGGTCACAGACACGCACACACATATGCATGCAACCAATATGGAGAGAATTAAACCACAGAAGCACTTAGAGATACAGATAATGTAGATATGCAGTACAAATTGTTGCGACAAAAAACCCCATCTAAGCCAATGTTTAAGGTAACGTAAACACAACAATTGTTATTCAGGTGATTAT